GGCGCCGCACCCTCAGACTCAGCACCCCCAGGCTCCTCACGCGTAGGCTCAGCATCCCAGACGCAGTACTCTTAGGCGCAGTACCTCCAGGCTCCTCACGCGCAGGCTCAGTACCCCCAGGCTCAGCACCCCCAGGCTCAGCACCCTCAGGCTCCTCACGCTCAGGCTCAGTACCCTAAGACTCGGCACCCCCAAGCTCAGCACCTCCAGGCTCCTCACGCTCAGGCACAGCACCCCCAGACTCCGCACCCCCAGGCTCAGCACCTCCAGGCTCCTCTCGCTCAGGCTCCGTACCCCCAGGCTCAGCACCCCCAGAGTCAGCAACCCGAGCAGGAGCACCCCCAGCAGGACCTGAGTCACCAGTGACCTCAACAGGCGCAGGCACAGGAGGGTCTACCTGAGAAACACCTGAAGGAGCAGGACCTGGCGCGGGGAGGGGGTCTACCTGGGAAGGACCTGGAGCGAGAAAGAGCGGCGGGGGGGGGGGGGGGGGGGGGGGGGGGGCGAGGGGTAGTGCGGTAGGGAAAGAGACGGTAGAAGGGAACGGACTCGTCAAAAGTGACGTCCTGAGACGCAAAGACACGGCGCGAGGTGGGGTCGTAAAACTGCCAGCCAGGCGCGTCAGGAGGAAAACCAAGGAAGACGCAAGGAATAGCATGAGCAGAGTGCTTGTCCGCGGTGAGATCGCAGACAAAGGCACGAGCACCCCAGACCCGGAAACGCGATGCATCGCCAACCTCCCCGTTCCACAGCAGCGTGGGCGAGGTCTCTGGCAAGGAGACACGGGGCCAGAGGTTGAGCTGATGCGCGACGTACCGGACCGCAAACGGCCACAGAAAATGGGGAGCCGCCGCATGGATCATGGAGGTACGAGCGACCTCTATGACTAAGCCAATGCGGCGCTCAGCAACCCCGTTCTGCTGTGGAGAGGCCGGAAGCGTGAACGATTGGCGGATGCCGTGCTCCTCACAGAAGGCTCGCAAGAGGTTGGAGGTGAACTCACCACCTCTGTCAGAGTGCAGACGCAAGACAGGAAAGTCCCGCTCGAACCGCTCGCGGAGCTGGAGACGAACAGCGCGGATCCAAGGGATCAGGACAGCAGGGACATCCGCCTTGCGCTGCAAGGGGAAGACCGTGGTGTAACGCGTGTAGTCGTCGACAACCAGCAGGAAGTACCGCTCGCGGCCCTGCCCCTGGACGCGGGCTGGGCCCCACACGTCCAGGTGGAGAGTCTGCAGCGGAGCCTCTGTGGGAGGGAACGAGGAGGAGTGAGGAGCGGCGCGCTGCCGCCCCTCGACGCAAGGAATGCAGGGCGGCGCAGGCGAGGGAGGGAGGGCAGGCAGAGACCTGGGAAGACCAGAGACCAGGGAGCGAGAGTGCATGCCACGAAGGCGAGGCAGGGAGGGGTGACCAAGGCGGTGGTGCCACAGGAGAGTGTCATGCGACAGGCGGCGACACTCACACTGGGTAGCTACCTGAGCAGACGCATACCGCTGTGGAGACAAACGGGTGTAGCGTGAAACAGTGGTAATGGTGTACAGGCTGGACCCAGGCTCACGAGTGAACGTGGCCAGGTGGTGGCCAGTCTTGGAGCAAGTGAGGATCGCCACACGCTGTCCTCCAGGAGTCCAGGTGTCAACCCAATGATCCTGAAGGACGGCGTTGCTCACCAGGTTCGTAGAGAACGAGGGGATGTGGAGACCTGACAGCTCACCTGACAGGACCGCCGGGCATGGAAGCACAGGCGTGGCTCGTGCAAGCATCGGGCCTCCAGAGCGATCAGCCAGTGAGACAGGGACAGGTGCAGGGAGGGGAGTGACTGTGGTGCTGTCGCGAAAGAAACAGCGAGAAGCACCAGTGTCAAGCGTAGACGTGTGCAAGGCCTCAGCAGGCGCAGTACCAGAGAGAGCAGACTCACTAGCACCTAGAGCAGCAGCTGCTATACCAGGGTCAGGGGGCACACACAGGTAACAGTCACCCTCAGTAGTACCAGTCAGAGCATACATGGCAGTAAGGATAGTGTCATAGTCTAGAGCAAAGATATCTACTCCGTCTCGAAGCAACTCTAGCCAGAGGGGTAGCTCAGTCTCGTCGCCAAACCGTGCTCGCCAAGCGTCGCTCAGACGGGAGAAGCAGCGGGACTCTGTATGACTAACTGTCCCGCAGGTCTGACCAGCTCGATCACCTGTGAGAACGACATACGGGCAGTGAGCAGTATTCCTACACCCCCAACTCTGAGCGTACCACTCATGCAGCTGCCGGGGCATAAGGGTCTCGGGCGGGCGCCGCTGCAGCTGCATCTGGCCACCGCCAGAGACTCCGCACTGACCAGCTACATACTGACCAGCTCCACCACGACTGCTACTACGGCCGCCGCCACCTCTCCGAGACGCACAACGCTGAGCGCATGAAGCTGCTGGGGTGTGAGGGTCTCGCGCGGACGCCGCTGCAGCTGGATCTCGCCACCGCCAGAAACTCCGCACTGAACAGCTCCACCGCGACTGCAACTATGGTCGCCGCCACCACTCCCACTGCCGCCACCGCCGCCGCCACCATTCCCACTGCCGGTACCGAGAAGAAAAGTCATAGCGGGTACGAGGGTAGGCAGGGGCGGCGGACGGGCAAGAGAAGGCGACGGTCCGCCAGAGGAAGGCGGCATGCTGCGGGAGGTAGGGCGCCCGGGTAGGGTAGATCACGCGCAGGTAGGGAAGGGCAGGCGGGCTGCCGTAGGGCGCGACACGCAGGGCAGCAGCACGGGCGCAGGGCAGGGCGCCAGCGCAGGGCAGAGCGCTGGCACAGGGCAAGGCGCAGGCGCAGGGCAGCCGCGAGGCGGGGGTGGTAGCGGCGCGGGGGCGGCTGAGGCCGCGCGCGGGGCAGCTGCGGGCTGCGCGAGTGGCTGAGGTGGCGAACGGGGCAGCGCCGGGCCACGCGAAGGCGGCGGACGCGGCGCGCGGGGCAGCTGCAGGCCGAGCGGGCAGCGGACGCGACGCGTGGGGCAGCCGTGGGCTGCGCGGGCGGCGGACGTGGCGTGCGAGGCAGTCGCGGGCTGCGCAAGGGCGGCAGCCGCGGCGTGTGGGGCTGCTGCGGGCTGCGCGAGCTGCCAACGCGGTGCGCGAGGCTGCTGCGGGCTGCGCGAGCTGCTGACGCGGCGCGCGGGGCAGCAGCGGGCTGCACAAGGGTGGCGGATGCGACGCGCAGGGCAGCAGCGAGCTGTGCGCAGAGTTAGGGTTTCCGCGCGCGGGCAGCGCAGCGCAGGCAAGGCAAGGCGCGCGCGGGCGGCGCAGCGCAGGCAAGGCAAGGCAAGGCGCAGGCAAGGCAAGGCGCAGGCAAGGCAAGGCGCGCGTAGGCAGCGCAGTGTAGGCAAGGCAAGGCGCGCGCGGGCGGCGCAGCGCAGGCAACACGTGGGGCACCAGACAGCAGGCAGACGGCGCGCACAGCGCAGCATGTCACAGTCATAGTCACAGTCGTGGGGTAGCGGTAGGTGGGCCCGAAAAAAAAAAAAAAAAAAAAAAAAAAAAAAAAAAAAAAAAAACGGTCCTACGGACCTACTGCTCTGAAACCATGTCAGAAACTAGAGACAGGAAAATGAGTTGACTAGATCAGGGTTTGGTACAAATATGAAACCCTAATGGGGTTGTACCCCATATCAACTACCCCACTACAGCCTACACAAATATAACATGCATATATGTTTGACAAAATCATCCAAAAAGTGGGGTATAGTGAAATCGAGGTCGCCCATAGCACCCACCCCGCACAAGCTACCCGGGGGTGCTCTATCATGGGGGGGTGTTTTGTCCGGGAGAATACGGGTACAACCAGCTTTAGACGCAGCTAACATGCAAGCTTTCGGGTCGAGAAAAGCCTGTGTGATCTTTTAGGAAGTAGATTCTAAAGATGCATTCCAACGAAGTCAATCGAGAGAAGTCGGATCTCCTCGTGGAGAAGTCAAGCGAGTGCAGCTTACAGTCACGCTGTGCTGCAACGTGCAGTAACACCCGAAGAGTGGTCATCTTCAGGGTGGGAGAGAAGGTTTGGAAGTAGTCAACCCCCTGACACTGACTGAAGCCTCGTACAACGTAATGTGCTTTGAACGCAGGGTGGGGACCCGGCGGCCGCTTCGCCCTGAAAATCTACATGCCATCGACTATGTTCACCCCAGGAGGGGGAACTGCGTCGACGTAGGTACATGTGGACTGCCAAGATGCCATATGTGCGTCCATGGGTATCTGCCACTGAGAGGACTACTGATCCATTATCGCCTCTGCGTAAGAGCGCGGGGTTGGGATGCCAGATGCATCTGGGTCTCCATCAGGGGCAAGCAGCATGGCAGCGAGATGAGGTACAGCAGCCGCAAAGCACTCTACCTCAAACTGTCTATCTTAAAGGACGTCAAGCCAAGGGCAAGCTCACCCCCGACGGACGGAGGACATTAAGAGTCAGAAACAAGACTCACGAGGTAGTCAAGGTGGCACGTAGCAGCAAATCGAACGAGCTCAATGACTAAAGCAGACGCAACAGCGGATGAAAAGGTAGGGTCAGTAATAAGTGCGGCTAGACAACGAGTGATAGTCGGACCAGCAGCACAAGCAAGGTCAGACTTAGGGAGCGGTGTGACTGTGGTGCAGTCGCGGAAGAAGCAGCGAACAAGAAGCGCCAGAGTCTAGCGTGAAAGAGAGCAAAGCCTCTGCAAGAATTGCACCTGTGCAAGCTATCTCACAAGCACCTACACTAGCACCCTCTACATTGACAGATCTAGGCACACAAGAATAATAGTCACTCTCAGCACCAGAACCAGCAGCAAACATAGCATACAAGTTAGCAGAGATCCGTTGCCAATCAAGATAACATACATCTGCACGCTTCTTGAGCAATCCCAACTAGTCTGAAATCTTGGTCTGCTCACCAAACTCCGCTCGAAAGGCGTTGTTGAGACGATAGAAGTAGAGAGCTTCAGTGTGCCCCGGTCTGTCGCAGACCTCTCCAGGGCAGACCGTGCGCTAGCGGTACTGGCAGTGACTCCCGCCTCCAAGGCCGTCTCGCCGAGCAACCCACTCACAAAGCTGTTGCGGCGAGAGAGTCTCCTGCTGACATGGCTGCTGCTGATGCCCACTCCCAGAACCTCCACTCCACCAGCTGCACCATAGACGCAGCTCCTCTGGTAGCTGTACTCGAGCCTCCACCCATGCCAGCTCCACCCTGACCGCCACCCGCGCCCCCTCAACCACCCCCACAACCCCCACCACCCCCACCACCCCCGCCACCTCCACTGCCACCACCACCTCCGCCACCCCCACCACTGCCACCGCCACCACCCCTACCGCTGCCACCACTAGCGCTTCCTTCACCACCCCCATTGCCACACCCCTAGGACGCGCACCCCTGCCGCGACCCCTTCCTCTAGGGGCAGACGCAGCATCGACCTCCTCACCTCGAAGGAAGTCAACAGTAGCAATAGAGGCAACAGTAGGTGTGAGAAGGGAGGGGGGCCACCCCTCAAAGGAGGGGCAGGTAGTACCACGGGAGGCAGCTACAGTGCAAGTACTGGTCCCGGCCTTGAGGAGAGGTCCCAAACGAGATTAGGGTGAGCTTAGTGGGGTCTAGGGAGAGGAAGTGGTCTCGGACGGCGCATAGAGAGTCAGAGGCGAGTCGTACGGAAGTAGTGAGCGAGATACATGGGGGGCTGGTTCTCAGGCTGGCTTGAGAGAAGCATAGTAGCGCGTGTCAAGGGAGCACAGTTGAGTCAATAGGTCAAGTACAGTGGTGAAGTCAGACAGCTCAGGGAAGAGAAACGACAGCACAAGATGGCCTAGGGTGGCAGAAGAGGGGGAGGAGTAGCGCTTAACTACAGCTTCATATGGAGCTTTGATCGTTTTTAGCGGCGAATAAGGAACCTCTGGTCGGGCGGGAGGCGAGGGCGGACTGCAAGCTGGGCAGTGGCGTCGCGTGCTAACCACTGTGTATGGGCAATGCGGCCAGTCCTAAACTTCTGCCCCATATCTCAGTAGTGGTTGGGCCAGAGTCAGTCATCTTAGCTAGGCTGGAAAGGGACCCTGACGTGTGCTAAAAAGGCGAGGCATCGTCCTTGGTCTAGAAGCCAGGACTCATACTCGATCAGGCAGCCCTCTGCGCCAACGGGGAGTACGGAAGGCGTCCCCATGGTAGGCAGCAGCAGCAGTGCGGAGCTCGAGAAACAGCGACACAAGGGCGCTAGTTGCAGCTGTGCAGTGCACAAGTGGCAGTGGCGATGAGGCGGCGTACAGGCGGCACACGGGTGGGTGCTGTTGTGAGAGTACGACGGCTTATGCTTGTTATTCATGCTTGCTTTAATTCCCTTACGCTACTCCTAGCTTAGGTTTCTTTTATGCATGCATGAATTGCTTGATTCCTAGGTTCGTTGCTTTACTATAGTTATTATAGTTATAGGCACCGAACCAGGTTACGTGTACCAAACTCAAGCTATTCGGTTGCCACCAAATTGCCTTCTACCGAATTCGGGAAGGTTCTGTTCGGGACGCTTCGCGACCCTCGGAACATTCGCGTAACACCTGGGTTACCTGCCTTGTGTCGAGCCTATATATAGCCTCGTGTTGTACCCAGGTGATCATTCAATTCACAATCATCTTTTCTGAGCTCGATCCTAGATCCTCACACTTGGTAATCAGAGCCCGTTTACACGCGAAGTTTTTTCGACCGCTAAAACCCGGCCTTCAAAAACCGCAGGGGCGACGCAGTTAAACATCGATTTCGGGTACGTAAAACCGGTTCCGTGTTTTTTGCTCCCCCTCGATTCGGTTTTTCGGACGTGCTAATGTCAGGCATGGAGGGCCAAGGCGACAACTACGCGACCACGAGCGACATCGCGAGCCTCCGCACCGACATGGAGCAGACGCAGGCGACGCTTCGTCGACTCGAAGCCCTTCTGACAAACCAACCAGGCTTCGCCACCGCAGCAGCAGCGAACGCAGCAGCGAACGTAGCAGCGACGGCACCAGCAGCAGTGGCGACACCGACATTTCACGGACCGATGGCACCACTATCGCTGAACCTCGAAGCAGCACGACCGAGGCTCCCTGAGGCGTTCGATCCAAGCGCGAAGGGATCCGACGTCCGGCGATTCGTGGCCACCCTCGAAATTTACTTCGAGGCCATTGGCTGTTCGACCCCGACATATGACGCAGCAAGAATTCGGCTCGCAGCGACACTGTTACGTGGACCGGCACTCGAGTGGATCTACAATACTGACGTGGCCCGCGGGGAGAAATCGTGGACGCAGTTTCGGGCAGACCTGATCGAACGTTTCGAAAAGATTAATACGACCTACATGGCGCGGCAACAAATTCATCGGCATAATCAATACAGTAGTGTAGCACAGTACACGCAGCAGATGGAGCTACTGTTCAACCGCATCCCCGACCTGACCGAAGGCGAAAAAATCCAGGCGTACACAGAAGGGTTAAAATTGGAGATTCGGCGGCAGGTGATTGCGGCGAATTACGACAGCTACAGGGACATCGTGCGTGCAGCCGAACGATACGACGCGCTGACTCGAGGTCAACCCGAAACACGACGTTTCGCGCCGAACCGTACATTCGGCACGGAGCGATCGGCACCCCCCACATTCGCCGAACCGATGGATATCGACAAATACGACGCGAAGCAGCAGCCGACAAAATGCGAATTTTGCGGCGCAGCAGGGCATCAGTTTTTGTCGTGCTACAAAATGAAGAAGGCACGTGCGGCACTCCGGGACGGTAACAGTGGAGCACCCCCGAAGTAAAAAACGACAATCGCCAGTAGCCGCGGATCGACCTGGCGATCGCGTAAAGATCCGGAAAGCTGAAAAAGGCGACGACGTGAAGGCCAACCCCGACCTGAAGGCCAACCTTATCTTGGGGCGAGATTTCCTGAAGCGGTTCAACCCCGAGATCGATTGGGTCAACAGCAAAGTGTGCATCTACAACAACGAGAAGTGGATAGCACTGCGAAGCTGGACGGATACAGGGGACATTCCTGAAACGACACTGGCACAGTTCAAACGGACGGTGAACGAGAGTAACACGGACTACTTAGCACTGGTCATGGCAGTAGCAAAGGAGGAGAAGCCGAATTCCGAGCTACCTACAGAAGTGAAGGAGGTCTTGGAGCAGTACAAAGATATAATGCCCGACGACCTACCTGCAGGCGTACCTCCAGCACGCACCCACGAACACGAGATCGTGGAGGAACCAGGTGCGAAACCCGTCTCACGTGCACCTTACAGACTGAGTCCGACCGAACTGACAGACATGAAGAAACAGATCGAGTATTTACTAGACAAACAATTGATCCGTCCATCCACCTCTCCCTACGGAGCACCAGTTCTCTTCACCCCAAAACCAGACGGCAGTTTACGGATGTGCATCGACTACCGCGCACTAAACAAACAGACAGTTAAAAACAAATATCCCATACCGCGCATCGACGACTTACTGGACCAACTGCGTGGTGCAACAGTTTTCTCGAAGCTGGACCTACGGTCGGGTTACTGGCAGATCAAGATGGCGGACAACTCGATCCACAAGACGGCGTTCCGTACGAGATACGGCTCCTACGAATACTTGGTGATGCCGTTCGGACTCTGCAACGCACCAGCGACGTTCCAGGCGGAAATGAACCATATCCTACGGCCCTTGCTGGACGAGTGCGTAGTAGTGTACCTGGACGATATCCTCATCTACTCCAAGAACATGAAGGAGCACGTGGAGCATCTACGGAAGGTGTTCGAGATCCTGCGGAAAAACAAGTTCTACGTGAAGCTGTCAAAGAGCGACTTCGCACTGAAGAAGGTGCAATTTCTCGGGCACATGGTGAGTGCCGAGGGCGTACACGTGGACCCGCGGAAGATCGAAGCCGTTAAGAAGTGGAAAGTCCCGGAGAACGTGAAGGAGTTGCAGCAGTTCCTAGGCTTTGCCAACTACTACAACAGGTTTGTGCCACAGTACGCTAAGATAGCGACGCCACTGACAGACCTACTGAAAAAGGACACGCCCTTCAAATGGGGTGCTCCTCATCAGCAAGCCATGGAGCAGCTACAGACAGCACTGACCACAGCGCCAGTACTCATCCTACCGGACCCCGAGAAGGACTACGTAGTTGAAGCAGACGCTAGTGACCAGGCAGTCGGAGCAGTACTGATGCAGGACCACGTGAACGGTATACAGCCTATCGACTACCTCAGTAAGAAGTTACACGGAGCAGAACTAAACTACCCCATCCACGACAAGGAAGCCTTAGCTATAGTCGTAGCCTTCAAGGCGTGGAGGTGTTACCTAGAGGGAGCCAAGACCATGTTAAAATAGTAGGCACAAGTAGGAGCCATAGCTAGGGTTTACCTAGCTAGGCAAGAGAGAAATGAGCAAAGGAGGAGTTTCACTAGCGGCAGTTGGGATACATATAGCAAACCCTAACTGGGTTGTACCCGCTATAGAGCACCCCACTACAGGCTAGATAATAACATTCTGACACACCCCCATAGCCAAAGTGGGGTGTAATCAGCACAATGAGCAAGCATAGCAGGAGTTCACAATAATAAGCAAAGCTAGAGGTAATCACAGCGGGCAAGTGAGGAGGAGGAACTGTGGAAGGAGAGAAGATGGGAGGCAACGACTGAAGCTGCAGAGGCACGGGCACAGGAGCGGCTGACTCAGTGGCTACCGAAGCAAGGGCGACGGACTACTGGAGTGACTGGCTCCGCGGCTAAGACGAGCGGCAGGAGCAACGGACCCACTGGCAACTGGTGCAACAGGCTCACTGGCTACCGAAGCAAGGGCGACGGACTACAGGCGCTGCAGGCGACACGACAGCTACCTCCACACAACCTCCTCCAACTGACCCACACCCTTGACACACACCCCCTGCTGAACCCCTAACTCCACTCCCACGTCACCCCCCTAGCACCACTCCTTCGGCTCCCCACACACCCACCCCCCTCAGCGGCAGCTGCAGCAGTGGGAGACGGAGGAGGAGGAGGAGCAGGGGACGGCACACACTCTTGCACCCCCATAACCGCCACCCCCACACTCGCCACCCCCAAACCCTAAAACGGGTGGCACGGGGCAGGAGCGCGGGGGACGGCGCGGGGGACGGCGCGCGGCCCTGAGGCAGGCTGCCCGGGCCGCGCGCGGGCCTGGCGCAGCCCGTACGGGCCGCGCGCGGGCCTGGCGCAGCCCGTACGGGCCGCGCGCGGGCTGTACGGGCCGCGCGCGGGCCTGGCGCAGCCCGTACGGGCCGCGCGCGGGCCTGGCGCAGCCCGTACGGGCCGCGCGCGGGCCTGGCGCAGGTCGCGCGGGCCGCGTCGGGCGACGGGGGGCGACGC